TGTGTTCATTGTAATGCATTCAATTTCTTTAAAATAATGTAATTAATATTTGTTCTTAGTTACGCAGAGCAATGGAATACAATTTTTCTCAACTTTCTGACCATGAACAAATTCTTATGTTGATTATTTTATGCATTGTATGGAGGAATTCAAACAATAATTTGTCACTTTGCAACTAGACTTTCTAACAATCGAAAATGATTGCGAATTAGCGTCATACGCACCGTGGTCTGCCCAGAGAGAGAGAGAGAGAGAGAGAGAGAGAGAATGGGAATACGAGAGAGAAATAATCTGGGGTCGACATTGACATTTGTTCGCATTCACATTGACTTTGACTTTACCCCATAACGCAAGAGTCTTGACCCTTGCCATTCTTCGCCACTCCTTAACACCACAATCGAAGTTTCATTGATTGCAAAACGTTGTAAGTTTTCGTGCACAAAAGTTGTTCTTTGTGGTTTTGTGCGTTGGGGCATATAAAGTGCAGCTTTCGGTTCCCATTGCCACACAGCGAGGATAACTTCAATTGAAACTGCGTTGATTTTGATTCGATGCTGTCAATATAATGCGAAAACAATACGAATCAGACATTCGCCTTTTGCATTCGCCATGTGATGACATTTTTTGGTTGGTTGGGGTCGCTCCCGCCCCGCCCCCGCCCCGTTGTTTCCAGTACATAAACCAAATGGGTCAATTGATTTCTGCTTATTGCATGCTAAGCTGCCATAAGATTTTACGTAGTTCACTTTATGCTTTTCTTTTTCCTCTTTTCTTATTTTGTTTGTTTTTGCCAGCTCGATGGTTCAGCTGCTCTTTGGCTGTGTATTGGAAAATGTTTGCAATTGTTTCCCGTTCTCGGTTCCTCGTTTGTTATGTTATGTGTAAGTATTTCTTTCCATCAGCTGCAGACGTGAAAAGTTTTTCGGTTCTGTTGTTTTTTTTTTTTTCTGTTTTCCTGCTTTCTTTGCCTTGGTTCGCTAATTTCTTTGGCATTTTTACTTTACGCAAGAATGAAGAAGTTTGCTTAATGGACTTATAAGTCATTTAACTTTATTAATCAGTGCCGCTTGAATGCTGCCTGGTTATAATCAACAGAGCGACAGCGGAAGTCATTTTTCTAGTTTTGAGTTCAAGGAACGATAATCCGCAGAGCAAATGCATGAAATCTATCTAAGCTCCCAAAAGGAAATAAAAGGACTTAAGATATTTATCGCATATCTCATTTCAACATAAAAAAAACTCAACGTTGGCAAGTTCTCCAATTCTTTTATGTAAACTGAAAAAAGCAAGGCAAATAAGCCATCGATTTAACTTTTGATTTAAACTTACATTTAAGAGACATATTTAAAATTTTCTAAATACTAAGTATAATTTATACATATCTAATATGTAGATTTTAACCCACTTCTTAAGGCCTTATGTTAGTTTGCAACTCTCACGATAACTTTCGTTAGACTGTACTATTCATAATTTTTGACACAGTTTCCTAACATGCCAACCTCTTCCAACAATATTTCAGCGAATATGAGCGTATTGGTGCTTCGCTGGACTATTTCTTAAATTGCTTCAATTATCAAGGCAACTGCCACAACAGCCAAAACATCAAAAGTAACGAAACAAATTTATGAGCAGCCTACATTTAGGCAACCCAAACGTGAGTCAAGCGTATACAGAAAGAGAGAGCGAATAAATGCAGCAACAGCGAGAGAGAGAGAGTGAGAGAGAGTGAGAGAGAGGAAGATGGAGTCCCACCAGCCGACTGTCAAAAATAACTCAACTGTCAACAATTTATGCCAAACACATACGACCCAAAGCTCTCCCGAGCGTGAAAAAGAGAGAAAAAGGATACATATGTGGGCGAGAGAGAGAGGGAGAGGGAGGGAGGTAACCGTCGCATATTTTCATTAGGCGACATCCATCAAAATTCACGCATGAATATGGACTTTTCATGTTTGCTGACACGCGGCGCTCACATTGTCATTTTCCCAGCCCGAAAAACACACACACACACACACACACAATGAATTTTCTCCCCACTCTGCACAGGCAAATAAAGTCAATTTTCTTCAATGCCATTTTTGCGAGGCGCGCGCGCAAAGTGAAAAACTATGCAGCTAAAGTTTATTAGCTCGAATCACCTGAGAATGCTACACAACTTAAAATAGGCAAAGAGTTTCTGGTCACGTAAGGCTCATAAAGAATGCTTCAATGGCATCATTTGCAGTGTGCCCGCCTTTTGTTTCTTTCTTTTTTTATAGTATTTTCTTATTTGGGTGTTGAAAACTAGGCTACGCTAATAATAAGAGTTGCCTTGCTGTATCCTTGCGGCTAAGTGGGCCAAATGCAGGCCGTAAATCTTACAACTTGGCTCTCAAAAGCACTAGACATTGTTGCTTTAACCCTTCAATAAGCAGCGCGCTTTCATTTATCATACGTTGAGTGTTTTTCTTCTTTTCTCTCTCCCTCTCTCTCTCTCCCTCTCTCGCTGGCTGCCGTGGCAACCTTTTCATTTGTAATAAAAATTCATATGACTTTGGCGCATGTTTAACGTAAAACTGCCCGCTACCCCCCTACTCGCCTGCCCCTCTCCCGCAGCGGGCATCATTAGGCCTGGGCACGCACATTCCCGGAGTCAGCTACGTTTCTTCCCCCGCTGTCTTTCTCTCTCTCTCTCGCTGGTTTCTGTTTTGCAGGGGGCGCCACATGCAAAACGCCATGTGTGACATTTTTACTACCAAACATTTGTTAGCGCACCGTAGACCCTCTGTATCTACCTCCTGCGCGCCCCCTTTCCCTCTCTCTGGCTTTCTGTATCTCTCATGGATACAGCTGGAGCCTCGTAGTCAACACGTACCAGGGCACCGTCTCCGTCAGCGTCACCGTCCTTCTCATCCTTATTCTCATCCTTATCCACTTTCTCAATGTTGTTGGCAGCGTCATCGTCGTCGTCGTCGTCGTCGTCGCCTGTCGCTGGTCGTTTTTCTGTTGACTTTGCATAATTTTATTGCTTTTCTTTTATTTTTATGCGCTTTGCCTCGGCTCGACTCGCCTGCTGTTCCACTTTTACAGCCCCCCTTTAATTCTGAAAGCTCCCTTCGTTCCCCCTCTAGACGACATTGACATTATAATCAATATTTTTGTTACTTCACTCATATATGCATGTTGTTGCTCTGGTGTTTTGGTTATGTCGCATTTGTAGCTTTGCTTACATTTTGTCTTGTTTGTCTCTGGATTCTCCCCATTACTGACTGACCTTTGGCTTCATTGATATGTGATGGCATTCAGCGGGGCAAACTTGTTTTATGGAGCATGCAGCTATGCATGCTTCATTTATAATGATCTGCTGGCTACTTTAAGGGGGTGTTGAAAGATGGCATTATATCGGCCAATAATGTTGGTTTATCAGATATATTCTCATTTTAAATTTGGTTGCTAAGCATGGGATACTTATTGTAAGTATTATACTTCTATATGTTATATATATTACTGAATAAGTCCTGATGCAAAATGATATGTAATCTTCTCATTTGTAGGTTAAATTAGTTTGTGATGATTACTATTATCTTATTCCATTTATGTCTGTATTTCCAGCATATACAAATATATTATTTTCATTTGTATAATGTAAGTTTGATATTTATCAAATTATATGTGTTCATAAAATTATAATTTATGTTTGTCTCATAACGATTACTCTATCAAATACACATTATATTGATATATGTTTGTATTATAAAAATTAATAATGTCTATTCCATTTAAATGTCATCCATATAGCAGTAAGAGCCCAAACTTTCGATCTACAAACATAGTTTTCTATGGACACTGTTAAAAAGTTCCCTTTTATAGGTTGTTTTCTTTCCGGCAGGGAGAAACTTGGTAAGTTATTTTATTTGACATTTTGTGGGCTTGTTTGGGTTTTCATTACTTGGTGTCCATCCAAAGTTGTTTGTTTTGTTTGCACATTGTGCAAATGATTTTAGTGCGTCATAAAATTGTTTATTCTTATGTGCGGTGCGGGTTTATTACGGGCACAACAACATTATGCATTATGTATTCATGATCTCAGAGCTCGGGGTCAGCGCTTGGACATTCTAAATAATTACCCCGAGAGTTTCTTTTTATTTTAGCGAGCGCGAATTTGTCATGTGTGGCAAGAAGATAAATCAGTAAATGCTTTTGGCCAACTTCACAGCAGGCAAATAAATGTCAGCATAATATAAAGCGCTCATAAGTTGTATCATTATTCTCCTTCATTTACATAAGTATGTTCGTGGGTGTGTGTGTGTGTGTCTGTGTGTGTCTTTGTGTGCTTATTTAAATTTATGTCATTTGTGTGTTTGCCTTGTTTTTGGCAGAAATGACATAAAGGCATTTAAACACGCCATAAAATAATTCATAATAATTTCCATGTACACAGGATACAGAAATATTCCTCACTTGCCATTTGGCAACACGCCCGCCGCCCCTGCCAACGTATCCGCTTGCCGCACGTCAATGTAACCGTTTTTATGTGGCAGATTTTAATGCATGTTTCTTGTTTATCATTTCGAGTTTACATAAATAACACGTTTGTTGTTGTTGCTGTTATTCTCGTGTTGGTTTCTAACTTAAATATTGTTTTGCCTTCGGGCAAGAATAAGCGTTTCGCAAAGTCATTTTCTTGTCTGTCGTAATTGAAATCCCTTTTGCGTTTCACTCACAGATTAAAATTGTGATATTGCTATGGCATCAATATATTAAGTTTTCGCTCTGAATAATTCCATCCATTTCATGAAATCGAATACTTTCGAATACCAAATACAAATTGATGAGAGCTATTTAAATTTACATATATTTTATGATATATCTATGCAAATGTTTATAAATTGTTGATATTTTAAAATTTTAGTTTTATTTTTCAAAATTAACTTAGAAACCCTTTGCAATCGGACAACCCTTATACCCCTTAAATATGGTTTTCAATTATTATATGTGGTTTTATTTTATATTACATTTACCTGGCATGTTGTGGGCCCACATTGCCCATATCATGTGCTGAACTGGCCGTAATTTGAAAGTCCGCAATGGCCCCGGATTCCATGCCCAAAGCCTGTTTGCAGGTGCCTGAAAAATTATATTAATTTTGAATATCAGTTAGATGTGGTTGAGCAATGGCAGCAGCTCCATTAATTTAGTGTTCTCTCTCTCTAATTATGTATGTTAATTAATTATGTGATGCGATGCCTGCAGCGAGCTGCATAACAAGCAAGGTTACAATTTCCACGCCAACATGCCTCCCATATCTGGCTGACTGACACTTGAAAAATGGCACCCAATTAAAATGAAATATGTGGAAATATTATACAAAATACGCATATTTGTATGCTTTTGGGTTATAGAAAAAAAGCTTAATTCAGAAATCAAATTAAAACAAATCAAAAATGCTATGCAGCACAGTTTCTCACCTGTCAGGCGAGCGCATAAATTAATTAAATCAGAAACAAAGCAAAATCAAATAAGTGCCCAAAAGGCGTGCCGAAAGAAGGTGGAAGCAGAAGAAGGAGAAGGAGAAGAAGAAGAAGAAGATACAATCGGCAGACTCAATTTCCATTTGCCATCAATCTGAATCTGAGAGAATGCATGAAAAGCGCAATTATCATTTTGGGCTCCTCCACTTGTCGAATGGAACAACAGCAACATCAACAGCAACAGCAACAGCAGCTGACGCTTCAAATGAAATTCCACTCAAGCGGACAGCGGCCCCCAAGAGACAGCGAAAGGGTCATGAATAGGTCGTTGAGACGCCGTCATCAGCATCATCAACTAGCTGGCTGTTGCTCCGGCCAGGCACACAGAAAAATATCAACAATATTATCATTCAGTGAATAATTAGATGCAATCAGTCAACGCTTAAGCACCATAAGTCAAAGCCAGCTGAGCCAAAAGCAGGAAACTAGACAAAGGTCAAACTGGGAGACGACTATTCCCCAAGCACTTGGTGAGCAGCCAAGTGAGCTTTGCTGCTCGCATACCCACTTGACAACCCTATCGCACCATCTGCAGTTATAGATACTTTTACATCTCGCTGTTGTAGTTTCATTTTACTTGCAACGATGTAAGGCACCGTCTCTTAGCCTTTCGTCGTGTCTTTGTCCCATTTGAGTCCAGGTCTTGGTCTTTCACTTCGTGCTGCCAGTTTCCAAGTGGTTCCAAAGGTTGGGTTGTCCATGAAGTTTCTCGCTTATAAAGTGGACAGATTTCGTGAGCAACTGCAGCTATCAGTAACAATCGTTACTAAAAAATTAAATGAAAATTTGAATTTAATTTAACAAGAAATCTTAAGCCAAGGGAGAGAAGTTTTTATCTATTTCGAATTTAGGTATTTTACTTTATTATGGTTTCGGTTTTTTTTGAAATTTTATTCCTACGAAAAAGGATAGATTGTTCAGAGGCCTTTCAAGCATTTAGTTTTCCACTCCAAATGATATTATTCCTTATTATTCATTTTAGTATCATCTATTCTATTACTTGTGGTTTCCAGAACTTATCAAGCACATCTCCGTTTGTACATATGAACACTGAAAGTACTTATGTGCCCGCTAGTCCTTGAAAATATTTTGTTTTTTACCCAGCCCATTAGCACGGTACACTGTAAACTCATTTAGCCAAAACGCAATTGCTTAATTATCTACACACAGCAAAACTTTGTCAGTGCCCGTAAATTGTTGCAATCATTCACGAGAGCCGCCAAGGAACGCCTACCAAGAGAGGCCACAACAACCAGAACAGTTTGTAATATTTACATTACACCCTGACATATTGCGGCTCATAAATTATTTTTAATTATTGAGACTAAGTTGAAGAAAAACTATGTGCGGAGAACTGTTGCTTTTCTCGCCGATTGATCGATGTTCTCGTAGTTGTCTAGACTTTTCAATATAGTTGTGTGCGGGCAATCAATTATGACAGAAGAAGTTCCCCGCCCCTCTACGCAAAAGTGATGATTTCAAAGATGTGGAAACTATGCCAAATCAATGGCAATATGCTGGAAATGGAGAAACGCTTTATTTACTGCATAAACAATGCATTTTATATCATAGAATTCATCGAGTGAATGCGGAGCTTCCTCAACTTTGAGCTTCCCTCTGGAGATGGGGCACGTAGAAAACTATTTTGCAAAACTCTGACGGCAAAATGCAAAACTACAAAGTGAAAAGTAAACAACGCACGGCGCAAACAACAGTTGCTGTTGTAGTTGTTGTTGTTGTTGTTGTTGTTGTTCACGGTAAAGTTTTGCGCAAAATAAATTGCACAAAATTTAATTAACTGCACTTGAGTGCGTGGCCGGGTATGTCCGCTGCAGCGCGTCCAAGCTTGCCACCACTGAATGTGTGTGAGTATTGGGTGTGTGTGTGTGTGTCTGTGTATGTGTGTGTGCTTTTGCGATAATCATAATTCAAAGTTCATTCGGGAACGGGCGTAAAACAACACAAACAAACACCGCACAACTTTATGAAATTGAAAATTGCACAAATTTCACAGTTCAATGCAAACCAAAGCAAAGGCACAAGTGGTTGCGCGGCTCTGTTGGAGTTACAAGATTGGTTCGGTCGTAAAATCGCATCTCTGCAGGCGTAATCCATGGCAAATTATAAGCAAACATTTTAAATACACTTGCGAGCACGAGAAAGGGGAAATGTGATGCTAATTTGCTATATGGTTCATTGAGAGAATGAGATATGCAAAGTCTTTATTAGTGTGGAACTGTGAGAATTGCTTATGATGATACAGAAGCTGGGTAATAATGAATATTTGTGTCTTTTATTTATCTTGAACAACTATTGGGACAGTCAGATTGGCATTAAATAAAAATACAATCATTTGTTAATAGATATTTATTTTTAATATTTTTCGAGTTGTGATAGTATTATTAACATTTTTAATTTGGTTTTACTGCAGTTACAAAGACATCCAAATAGAACATTTATACAACAACAGAATACGGTCAAGAATATATTGAAGAAACCATATCAAGATTATTAATAGAGCATTTAATGGTCGACTTGGCGTATCTTCCTTTGTGGGTTTCATTGTGTGTGAGCTGCGAGTCTGCTCAAAGGCGCCAATAAGTTTGGAAACAGCGAGCAAGCAGCTAGCAAACAGCTCATAAGCCGCACGAGAAACGCGTTCAATGACGCGTATCTGCTACCGACGCTCATAAACAACGAAAGTAACAAGGCGTGGATTATGAGCATCGGCTCCCTGCCCCAATCCCCTAGCCCCAATATCCAGCTCCCCCCAACAACACCAAACTTCTGGCTATGGTTCGTTAGGGCTGAAAGTGAGCGAAAGATTCGAATAATGCAATTTATGCACTCGTTTTAATTGGGTCTCAATAAGCAAAAACGTATCTGACGGATGCAACGGAAGTTGCAACCATAAACACAAAGGGCCCGGCTCGAAGGCAATGCGCTGATTAATTGTAAGTAGCCAAAGAAAAAAAACCCAACATAAAACGAGCTGTGGAAATGGAAATGGACGTGACAAACATTTAACACGCAACATTAAACAACAGCGATAGATACACAAACGTACATATTACATGTAAAACATTTTGTACAGAGCAAGCGCGATATGGCTATAAATTAACATAATTTATAAGCAAAGTATCTTAAATGCATGTCACCACATTTCGAACATTCACTTTTACGCTCTATCGCAGCACACATAAATCGCACCCGAACAAAAAAAAGGAAAAAATAAAACATTGAAGATGAAAAAAAAATTGATACAATAAGAAAAACATGTTCCATGTTGCGGTGCTTGTCTCCTAATCGTCGCCAAGTTATCAGCGCTCTTGCACGGCCTTTTAATTTATCGAGTGACTGACCATGCAAAATCTGTTCCCTAGTTTACTTAACGTTTGTTGTTGTTGTTGGTGTTGGTGTTGTAGGTGCCTGGGCCAGGTCTGGCCCCAAAACTCCTTCACTGGCTGCTTGGCTATTAATTGTTATTTAATTTTTTCACAGCCATGCCTGTCAGTTGTTGGTTCGTGTTTCTTATCGCCGCTCAAAGATCAGCTGCAGCTGCAGCTCTACAGCCTGGAAGCAACATTAACTTTGGCCATAGGCCTGCGGAGAGCTGTCAAAAAATCTATATCGCAAAATCTATACGTAAAATAAAATGTATTTCAAAAGTCTGTCATGTATTTTTTTTTCTTGGTATCTAGCGCTCAGTTGCCAAAAGCTTTAGGCTTTAAGGCACACGGTAGTCAAACAAATAATCAAAAATGTGCACTTAACTTTAGTGGGAAGTGCTCTATTATCTTGAAGTAGAAGTAACGCTGTTTAGCGGTAATAACTCAATCTGATAGTTTTCCTAAAGCATTGGATTAATATTCGACAAGAGATATGCAGAGTGTGCTATTGGAATTCAGAAACTGTTGTTTCGTTTATTATTTCGTTACATTAATTACATTAAAAAAAGGCTCACAGTTAATATGTAAATTGCCTAAACTTTAATAAAGCATATTCAATTCTCAACAGCCAAGAATAAGTCAATCCTATTATTAATTGTATTGCCATGTGTTTGTTATAAGTCTTTTAATAAAATATTTTCTTAAACATTGTATTTAAATACAATTAGAACTTAACATTAATTGGTTACTCACATAAATTACCTTCTTTCACAAAGTTTTGGTATTATTTTATTTTGAGTATTATTACAAAAAATGTAGTCATTTAAACATTTTTTTTATTTGCTGGGTAACCACAACGATTTTCATTAAAATACGCATTCAAAAACTCGTATATTCTATTTTTTCTTTTAGACATATTTTCTCTTTAGTTTCCGCTAAATGTGCCACAAGTTGGTTACTGCCAGTGCCGCATTTCAGCCTGCAGTCTTAATTGGCCATTCCTCCGCCTGTACCCCCTTTCATACCGTTTAAGCCTAGTGTTGCACTTAGTTTTGATTGCCACCGTCGCGGTTGCCGGTCGTTGGCTGCACATTACATGCATAAATATTTTTGTATTGCCTGCCAGCTAGCGGCCAGTGGGGCAAATTACATGCATTTCAGCATTTGCCGCTTTGGTGTTTAGTTTATCGCATTTTGCCACTGTTTTAGGCCGTCGCGTTGTAATCGCTGCCACAGATGCCAAGAGACAACCGGCAACCGACAACTGACAACATCTAAGACCAATTCATATCAGGTTTTTTGTGTGGCTTGTGTGTGTGTGTATTGAAAGTGGTTTTTAAGAGATTCCGCTCCGGCGTGTGTGGGATTTGCTCAGTGTGGTGGCTATAAAGTGTAAGTCACCCATCTGAGGCTAGAAAGTAAAAGTGTATATTGTGTAAATGGGCCATGGGGCTGGCCAAGCAATTAATTCCGAAATTGCTTTTGAGAGCTTAAAGCAGTCAGTGAGCTGTGAGGGTTTTCAGTGCACCAAGCTGTTTGAGACCTTCGAACGTGTGTGGGTTATGATTGAAATGCGACAGTGAAAAACAGCCCAGTCAATGTTTATTAACTTGTTAATAAAGACATAAGTAATTGTGATTGAAATTGTTGGAATGATAAGAATCCAGCTGAGATTATCTCTATGAACTTGAATCAATAGAGGCGTCTTCTAGATACGTTAAACAGCAGTATAAATCTCTTTTTTTTTCAGTATATTTAAAAAACATGGAAAATCTGACCAGTATTTACGTTCTAGCAAAAAATATTAACATTCACTTTCGCGTATTCTTTTGATTTAAATATGTACATGTCAATAAATTCTTGTGCAAAACCATTGAAATATATCATTGACTGCAGTTAATATTCACTGCTTACAACAAGTTCTTATGCATAAGCCATTATTCGAAGGGGCATTTCGATTTCAATGCCAATTTATACAATCATTTAAAAAGGCAACGGCAACGCTTTAACATTATGTTCATTTGTATATATATATATATCTATATAATAGTATGTATGTATATGAGGTTTATATGCTGTTGTCATTTTTATTTGCTCGCCACGAGGCAATTCGAGCAACATTTCAACGCGCCTACGGTCAAATGAAATATGTCAGACATGCAGATATTTACGCATTTAAATAAATACTCGCAGGCCGATTCGTAATCGAGCAAAACAGACCAAGTAATCCGAACAAGCAACCAACCAACCGACAACATGATTTTCATTCAGCTTCATTCATTTCCTGCTACTGACCTGGCCTGGTTATACTCTGCGACTGGCTACTTTAGCTTGGCGTTAATGTTAAGCATAATAACATATAAATAAAATGGGAATTTTAAAAAATATTTCAATAGTATCTTTAAAAAATTCACTTAAATATATGCTACTTACAACAAATATTCAAACTGGCAATGTTTGAATTCACTTGAAATTAATAAGTCAATCAAAAAGAGTGTTTTAAAAAAGTGCAATTTTATTGAATCATTGAGAACTTAAAATTCTATAATAAATCTGTTGAACAAAACAATTTGTCAAATTAAGCAATAATATTTCAAGTTCTTGTAAAGTGTTATAAAAAATTCCAGTAAAAATAAATGAACTCATACAAAATAACAAAAAGCTTGCGTAAATAACTTTCATAATAAATAAATTTGCATAAATGTTGAAAACTATGTACAATTTGAAGTCCATTTTTGATCGAGCCCAAATGTACATCAAAATATGCAAGTGTATATTAAGTTCGATGATCCTTAATTGGTTATATCTGTGGCTTGAGCAAACAAGTTGCTCGCTAACGAGCCAGAGGCCCACAACAAGATAATTTGTTATGCTCAGCAGACGAATGGCACAGAAAGCTACAACAACAATGACAACAACAATAGCAGCAGCAGCTTGGGGAGAGAAACAAAACCGAAGCTACGCCAGCTGTGATGGACGCGACCACACACGTGAGCATTGGGAGCCACCGCCACGATGGAGCCAATCAGCAATGGTAATGAGGAGCGTCCAAGTTTAAGACCAAGACCAAGACGCAGGCAGTCATCTATCAAAAGCACCGCTGTGGCTTCGATTTGCTTGGCCATCTCACCACCTGGCTCTGCATATATATATATACAAATATATATAAATTTATATATGTATATACATATATACGCATATATAGGAGTATGCGTCTATGCTCTAACCACCTTTTGGCCTGGCATATGCCAAGGCTCATGTTTATTAATGACGACGTCGTCGACGCATCCTGGCGCTTTGCGTAAATTTCTGTAATTGGTTGTGGTTGAGTGCGTGACTGGTAGATGGCGGGTGCTGATCCTGGTGCTGCTCCTGGTCCTGCTCCCGCTTAACAGTTATTAGTTACGGTTTGCATTATTGGGAAACACTTGAGCTTCGGCATGTTTTAGTTTCTGTCTTGTTACGCTCCCCATTGCGGTTGATTGATTTCCATGTTGATTGCCGAATGCAAATGCAAATTTGTATACTCTGGCTCAGTGTTGCCCCCATCTCAACCATTGCATATTTAGTGCAGTGGTAAATTAAATGCCAGCCCTCAAACCTCAACTATACTGAGCTGTTGCATCGTAAGCAGCGTAGCCGAACGAGGGTAGGAGCCCTGCCAGAAATGTAATTTTTGTAGCTGGCTTTCAGGGTCTGGAACTGAGTCAGGACGCTTTTCTCAAGCAGTCTACTTTAGGAAAACTTATTCAAGCATTACAAAATATACATGATGTATTATTGACAATGTCGTCTATATATATATATATCGATTCTTTTTTTTTCGTAATTTCTATGTATTGTTGAAATTTTGAGCATTCCAATTAAGTACAGGAACAAATTTGGTTCCAATTGACTTTGTTACATATGCATAAAATATTTTCCATAATATTGCTTGGTACCTTTTTGTACCTTTTATATCGAGAGCAAGTTATTTTTTCTCCTTTTTTTGCTGCTCTGAAATGTGGTTGTGCGTAAGTATGAGTGTGTTATCGAAATAAAAATGCATAAATTTTATGTCATGGGAAATGAACAGACGGTATTTTTGTTCAATGGCCCAACGAGAAGGGCTACAATGGAAAGCGGCTGTCAGTGGGATTGATCAGGGGTGGAAGAGTGGGAATATGGAAATTTGGTTAAAACGTTTAAATTGTGTATCCTTGTGGAAGTTGCATGCTGTATGTAAAAGCTGTTCACATGCAAAGAATATTTTATAAACAATGCCAAATATATCCTAATAGATTTCATATATTAAAAATTAAATATATTTATCTTTGCTTATTATTTGTTAACTACGCTGATGGAAACTCGAAATCTATTATAATAAGACGGCTTTTAATTTCACATTGTTCTTATCTCATATTGATTGTTTAGAAACATTTATTTTTTATTTAGTTGTTTATATTTTTGGATTACATTACATATTCGATTTCATGATAAAAGATTTGAATAAACGTGTGGTATTTGGTATTCATATATATTTGGCACAATGAACAGAATTCTTCTGTTCCATAATTTCGATCATGTAATTGGTATTCCACAGTGCTTCTCATCGTTTACTTACCAATTTCCAATGCTGCCACGCCTGCCACAGCTGAGCTCGCTGGGTTGCCAACTGCTGTTGAGACGACGACAGTGCCACTGCCACTGGGTCTGCTCAATAAAATCAAAGTCAATGTCAGCCAGCATAAAGTTTTACTGTTATTAACACCCTGACGCTGAATGCGGCAATAACTTTTTAAATAATTTGTTGCAGAATGCCAGCAGCTGTACTCGAGCCTTTCAATTTCTCCTGGCCAATCAATAGACAAATGTTGTTGTTGCCTCGGCCAGCAATTCAATTTCTGTAATTTTATCGCAGGCATTTTGACTTTTGTTACGTTTTCCAATTTAGTGTTCACACATTCAGCGATTTCATTTAAATTTCGCGCATCTTATGCTGCAAAGATAGAAAATGCAAGAGAAGAAATGCAGTTGATAAATAAATGCATAATTGTCGAGAAATTGTTGAAATTTTGCAAACTTAATTGGACTGGGTTTAAGAATGTCTGACAGGCGTTCAGTCAGTTATGCATACTGACTGTTTGTCCCTCCCTTGTGCCTTCTAAATACATCATTGTCAGCAAATTAATGTGACGTGACCTTGCAAACTGTCGCGCTTGTGTCACATGACAGCAAGTCATGTCACAGTTGCTGGCAACGTTGCGCAGTTCCTCGACACGATTTTCTCAGAGCGCAGCAGGCAAAATTTATGTAAAATGTCTGACATACAGCTCCTAACCCAAACCACCTCTTCCTTTCCCTCTCCCTAACCGCTGCACATAGCTCAGCGACATGCCAAAACGTGTCAAAATACAAAAATATAAACAGCGCGAAAAACTGTACGAAAATGCTGGCCCAGCCAGACAAGGCAGGGGAGGTCGGCCTCTGTCTGATGTTTGCCCTTTAGGCAGTCGGAAATGCGACAAAAATGACAACAACAACTACGAAGATTGCCGTGCCTGGTTTTAAGCAATCGAAATTAAAGTTGGAAAACAAAAAACCATTGCAAGATTTATGGCAAACACTGTAATAGTTGTCTGTGTCAGCCAGTGAAAGTTGGTCAGATCGAAACCAATGCGAATCATTACAAAAGGTAAATTTAATTTGCAAAAATTGAGTAAAATGATTTTATTCTGTGTCTATTATAGATAGTGTAAATTAAATTTGTATGCAAAATCAGTTGAAATGTAGATCAGCATCTGCAGCTTGATTTTGAGCGTTTTATGCATTTTTAAATTGCTTTAAAAATTCAATTATGTTCTTTGAATAATTCTAGGTTCCAAGCAGTATGAGACATGCGTTCGTTGAGAATACACATGTCAAAATAATCTATGCAAACACATGAATAACTTAAAAATACGTCTGTTAATTAAGCAAAGGCAAATTTTAAGTCAAATTTCTAACACTTTTAGTGCATACATATTTTATGTGCACCAGTCACATTAGTTCAATCTTTGTGCATATATAAAGCACTTTTTAATTTCTATCATGATAGTTTCCATGTGCGCCATTTTCAAAGTATATATGTATATATGTATATATATGCTTAAGTGTCTCAAAAAAGATCAAAAGCGAGAAAACACAAAGAAAACTTTGCAGGCTGGCGGCAATGCCGACGCGAATTCACTCAAGCAATTAATAAAATGCAAAAAGAAAACCAAAGTGCAAAATGAAAAAAAGTCAAATAAAGAAAAAAGAAAAAAAATCAAAAAAAAAAACTAAACGACAAACGTTGAGGCCGTTTTGCGGCTGTGGCCTGGGATCTGTTTAGGCTATGGAGAAGGGACAGGGGTAGGGAGGCCCAAACTGGCGCCCACACTTCCTTTCATATGCGAAATGAAAAATTTTACGCCAACTTGACAGTGGAAGTGGCAGCAAAGTTGCAAATGTGCCTGGTTGTTGTCGCACTCATTGTTGTTGTTGTTGTTTTTGTGTTGTTGTGTTGTCGGCGGCTCAGTCCCAAATAAAAGAAATAAAATTTTAGCAACACAGCGAGTCGCATAGTTTTTATGGCCATGGTTCGGCCTTTTAATGTGCTCCATGTTCGCCGTAGTTGCAATTGCAATGAAAGCAGCAGCAGCAGCTGGTCGCTTCGCTTAGTCCCTACTCTGTGCGATCTGTGAGAGCTGAGGAGGCGCGGAGCTGAGGGGCATCGAACTCAACTACTGTCGGACTGTTGCTTAGCTGTGGGTTGCCACTGGCACTGGCACTGGCACTGGCACTGGCACTGGCACCGTTACTTCGGTAGCTGCCGTCAAATGCAAATTTTTTTATGTGACGAAAGCAAAAAACAGATGCGTGAAAAGCGACGTCGCTCTTCGACTGACACGAACCGTGGACGGAGGCATTGGAGGCGGACATTGGGTCAGACTAATACAGACACACACACATAGACACACACAGAGATACATACAGATCATCTCAGAGGTCGTGACGCGTATCTTGGTAGCCATGTGAGTGGAGATTGCATCGGAAAGTGTTGATGGAAAAAAATGAGGCGCAACTTAAGAATTGTTTGACTTGGGTGAGATTGTGTTGAGATATCGTTTAATTGTGAATGACTTAAACTTAATCGATAAGAGATTTAGATGAGATGTGATTAGTGAGACGGATTTTCAGACGGAAGTTTCTAACCTTCTCTTTATTTCATCTTGACAAAGCCAAGTTAAATAGATATAGAATATAGAAAATACACCTGATTTCTTTCATTCAGTAATTCTGAAATAATTGTTCATCATTGGTATCCTGTAATAATATTAATTTAAATAAGTTTTCAGTGACTCCAGGTCACTTATACACAATTTTTAATTTTTTTTCTTATAGTCATATCTTGTATTATTTTGAGCTACTGTTTTCCATTTGAATAGATATTTTTGTGGATCAAATAAATATGAGATATTTTAACTTTTTTTTATTTGAGTCAAGCATTAAGCACGCCTATATTATTATATATATCTAATTCAAACAAGTTGTTTTATAATACTGTCTTGTATGATCATCCGTATTAAGTCAGTATTAAATTGTTAATTACCTACTTTGCATTTATATAAGTATTTATGTCCAATCAAATTAAATACTTCAATGGGACTACTCAATATAGACTGCAACTCCTAGCAATTCGAGCAACAAAAGCTACCCAAACACTATACAGTATTCACTTGCACAATTATGTTAGACAGTTGGCAATGTGGAGTGTCAACAGTAGCCGCTGCCACATAACCGAAAGCCTAAGGCAACTGCAGTGCCACTGCAGCAACATCAGTATCAGGCTGCTGCTCCTTCTGTTGCTGCTGCTCTGATAACGCGCACCATTAACACCCGCAAACAATAACCAAGTCGAAAATTAATTGAAGTCATCGCCGCAGACGGTTTCTGGCTGGCGTCGGACCGCAAGTTGCCCAGTTCTCAGTTCCCAGTTCCCAGTTCTCAGTTGCCAGTACCCAGTTTCCCAGTTGCCAGTCTCCTCGAATCCCTGCCCATGGCAGACAGACATTGCAGACGCCCTGGCATGTCATTCATTTAGTTTTCTATGCCTGGGCACCCCATTCTGCGTTCAGCTCGTTCTGTCTAGCTCTCCCCCATTTTGGGCTGATGGTGGAAGTACCGTTGCCTACGGCCTGGTCATATTATTTTCGCACTCTCCAAACTGCCGGCCCGACTGCCGCCGACTGAGTCACTAAAAAGCGGCATTTTATTTGCACTTCAAGATGCGAAACTCTGCGTCAAAAATTATTACGCTACCAACAGGCATCAGGCAACAGCAAAAGCAGCAGACCCGCAATGCAATCTAAGTTGTTGTTGTTGATGATGTTGTGGTTGTTGTTGCTGTATTTTTCTGTTGGAGCATTTTGCTTTCTTTTTGCTTTTGGTGTTGCGTGTTGTTGCCAGGCATTTAATTGCCAAATGCAACACATGCTGACGACGCCAACGCCAGCGCACAAAAAAGGACAGCTTGGAAAATTAATAGAAAAATATTTTTTAGCCATTTTTTAATTTCGGACTTTTGTGGGCGGCAACAACAGCACCAACAAAATCTCCAACAGCCACACAAAAAATAAACCAACACAAGCAATGGCAATTTTTTTTCGCTCTCTGCAATTTCGCTGGGTGTACAATTTCATAGTAATTGTGGTTAATGTTATGGATATTTTATGTGGGAATTCAAGCGGGACTAACGACGCAAGAGGGAATAGCGGGAGACGACTGAGTGAGAGAGAGAGAGAGAGTGAGAGAGAGATAAAGTAATGTGGGTAAATTGTGGACAAGATAAAGTTGCGATTGTATATTAGTCATAGGGAGTTGTAGATATAATTACAGTCTGGGTTTTAATTGAAGTAATAAATATGGAAAAAATAATTAAATCATATATTTAAATATGCATATTATTCACTTGACAGGAATCCCTATTACATACTTAAAGTCCTAGAAATGGCCAGATAAAAAAGAATTGTCATAACAAAGTCAGTTTTACATTAAGCAATACTTCTTCAATTCTATTTATAATAGAACTACATATTAAATACAATTTTAGGTTGAGCTGGAACTCACTACTTATCTATAAAAAATAGCACATTTAAAGCGAAGCTTTTAGTCTTAAACCTAACCTAGATCTTTACCTCTGACATATGGAAATGAATTCTTAAATAAATCATTAAATACCGAATATTTTCTCACAAGCTCTTCGCAGTCTAGCACTTTAACTGCAATCACCTTGTGCAAGTCGCATTTTTAATGTATTCACGACACGCATTCTTTTCATTTCCTAACCAGCTGAAATGACATCCCAGCAAAGTTCAATGCCATCGCCTGCCACCGAAAAAAAAATATATGTTTAGCCAAGACGCCGCGTCAGGGCTACCAGCTGCCCTTGGCCCGGCCCAGCAGCACCGCCGACCCACTCCTCTGGGGCCATCCATGGCTTGCATACCATTCAATGTCGGGCATAAATTTTCTACCGTGCGCCTCTGTGCAGAGCTAAAAATGTAATAAACAATTTTTTGCCAGCCATTTTTTTTACTGCAGCGAAAAATGCAGGCAGCGAGCGGCCACAGAACAATAGAAAACCCATTTTAGCCATTTTTAACATTTTCTTTAATATATTTTTCGTAGCAGGCGACAGCGGCAGCAACACAAAAAACACTTTATCATTGAAATGCTGCAAAGTGACGACGACGAGGGAAGGAGCTAAAATATTTTTGTATAATGGACGCAACTTTTGCCACATGGAAATTAAAAGCGAACAACTAGAAATAAAATCAGCAAAAATGCGCCGAATATTGTAGTCTCTGTCAACAATATTTTGGTTTAAATTAAATATAACTGTTCTATTCTCTGCCCATAACAATTTATAGATTATATTATATATTTTACTTAAAACAGTTTGAAACATTGTTACTT